ATATATATATATATATATATATATATATGTATCTTATACATCGCTTATATATTTTTTTAAATATATAAATATTAATTAATTATATTATCATAATATATTCCGCATATATCTCGTAGCGTCCCTAGTTACCTGAGTGTATGCCGACGCGGAGCTGCAGCTGGTGACCTGGCTTGTGCCGGATGCGGAACACGCACACCTCGCTGAGCAGTTCCAGCGCCATCGTCGCTATCTCTGCTGCGTGTCGATTGCCGTTGGGCACGGGCAGCCCCGATACGACCATGTACGCGTCTCCTATCGTCTCCACCTGCATGAACGCACATCAGATCACATTCTCACGGGAAGATGCATTTACGCTTCCACCTGCATGGCGGTGTTTGTGCGAGAACATGATCGCACTTACTGTCCGTCATGCATGCTCACGCGAACACAATACGAGCGGTGTGTGTGTGTGTGTGTGTGTGTGTGTGGTGTGTGTGTGGTTGTGTGTGTGTTTTGTGTGTGTGGTGCTGTGTGTGTTGTAATGTGTGTGTGGTTGTGCGTGCGTGCGTGGTGTGTCGCGCCGCGTGTGTGTGCCGTGTGTGTGTGCGTGTGTAGTGCGTGTGCGTGCGTGCGTATGTGTGGGCGTGCGTGCGTGTGGTGGTGTGTGCGCCGTGCGTGCGTGCGTGTGTGCGTGCGTGCGTGTGTTGTGTGGGGGAGGGGGTATGTGTTGTGGGTGCGTCGCGTGTGTGTGTACGTGTATGCGTAGGCGCGCATGCGTGCGTGCGTGCGCGTATGGTGGTGTGCGTGTGGCGTGCTTTACGTATGTGTGCGTGCCGTGTGGTGTGTAGTGTATGTGTGTGTGTATGTGTGTTGGCGTTTCGTGCGTAGGTGTGTGTGTAGGGTGGGGGGTGTATATGCTGTGGGTGCGTTGCGCAGCGTGTGTGTGTGCGTGTGTGTGCGCTGTGTGTGTGGTCGTGCGTGCCTGCGTAATGGTGTGCGTGCGGTGTGTGGTGGTGTGTGTTGTGTGTGCTGTGTGTGGTGCGTGCGTGCGTTGTTGCGTGCGTGTGGTGTGCGGGTGTGTGTGGTGTGGGGGGGGGTATGTGGATGTGGGTGCGTTCGCCTGTGTGTGTACGTGTAGCGTGCGTGCATGCGTGCGTGCGTGCGCGCCATGCGTGGTGTGCGTGTGCGGTGCGTAAGGGCCTACGTAATGTGTGCGTGCGTGTGTGCTGTTATGTGTTGTGTGTATGGTGTGTGTGCGTGCGTTGCGTGTGTGTGTGTTATGTGTGTGTGTATGTGTGTGTGCGTGCGTGCGTGTGTGTGTGTAGGTGGAGGGTGGTATGTGTGTGGGTGGTGTGTGCGCGCGTGTGTGTGTGTCGTGTGTGTGCGTGTGTGTGTGTGTGTGTGTGTGTGTGTGTGTGTGTGTGTGGTGCGTGCGTGCGTGTGCAGGGGCGGATTCAGAACAGAGAAGGTAACAGGTTGCACGCGACTCGCTCCTTCGTATATTTATTCTTCCCACAAACAAGCCTCTAAATATTCAATACTGGTAATCGTCCTGATTGCGCCACCTGCGTTTTTCATGCGAAATGTACATAATTGAAATGATATCTATATCATTCTTTTACTAATTTTATTTGTTTATGAATATTTCAAATCATCAATCAGCTATCTAATCAACACATAATTATGATCGTTCGTTTTTGTTTTGTGTTCGAAAGAGTCACTATATGTGAGGCCACCAAGGTGACCTTCATCTCTTCTAGCTAATAATATGGTAAATGTCAACAAGAGTACATAATAGAGACGAGAACAAAGATATTATACGCGCGTCTCCTGTGCATGTGTGCGGTTGTGTGCGTATGATATTTTTGTTTTCGTTTTTTCGTTCACGCCCTCCCAACCAGTAGTTGCTGCAGAGAAGTTTACCTTATAGACGTCGAAATTTTCGAGAATGGTGTCGAAACAAGTATAAAGATCGTTAAGCAAATCCACGACCTGTTTAAAAACAATCAAGTTAAAACAAATATAATAATTAGCAAATAAACAAAATAGTTCATAATTTTAATATATAACTACAATTAAATTCGTACTAAGTCGTTTCATTTTATTTTGTAATTACTATACTATTTGCAAAAATTTTTCTGAAATAGTGACTAAAATATATAATTTTAACAACGAGTTGAGAGACGTCGGTAAGCGGATATGTAATTATGAGTAGTTCTCGACTCGCCTGCATGGGGGCGCTCTCGGCAGCTAACTTCGTGAATCCCACGATGTCGCTGAAGAAGATGGTCACTTGTTGGAAATACTCTGGATTTATGGTTTTGCCTAATTTGAGTTTCTCTGCTACTGACCTAAAAATGCGAGAGGAACGTCTACTTTGAACAGGATTAACACACGCATACGCGCACACACACACACACACACACACGCACACGTACACGCACACGCACACGCACACGCACACGCACACGCACACGCACACG